GGAGATGGCCACACACAGTCCCTTTTCCTACATTCTCCTCTCAGGATTTTGGGCATGCACACACGTGCACCTGACATCAGTTTTAAGCCACCAAATCCAGGACTTGAACCATGGTCAACTATGTGGGAGTCCAGTGATGTAACTCCAATATAATTACATCACACAGATTGTTCAGGTGCACTTGTCGTCTATGGGGGAGACAGATTCCTAGTGCTTCGTACTCCAGCATCTTCCCAGAATCCCTGTAGAAAGACAGAGACAGTGAGAGGAAAAGTGAGAAATCACTCCCACCCCAGGAGGATGGCTACACCACCATCGCTTCTCCTCCGTTCTCCTGGGATCTGGGCACGCATGCATACACACCTGGTGTGATTTTCAAGCCCCTGGATCCAGGACTGGAAATTGCAGTCGGCCACATGGGAGTCCAGAGATGTAACTGTTATGCCATCTGCTGCCCCCCTCTGATTGCTTTTTAAATTACAGATTTATGGAGCTATAATTCATGTACATTAAATATGTACAATATAACCTTTTAAACTATACCTTTTCGTGTGTTTTTATGGATGATAAAAATTTTCTGAAATTGTGGTAACTGTTGGTTCATCTCTGAAGATGCTCAAACACATGAAAAGGTATAGTTTAAAAGGTTCTATTGTGGGGCTGGCAGGTGGTGTGGTGATTAAAGGTGCTGGATTCCCACGTGGCCAACTACGGTTTGATTTCTGAACCTGGTGGCTTGCTTTCTCTCTCTCTCTCTCTCTCGTCAGATTAATAATGATAGCAATAAATAAAGTTAAGTAAAATAATTCTTTAAGAGGTAAAGGTTATATTGTATATGTTTAATGATAGGTAGATTATATCTCCTTAAATCTGTACTCATTAGCAGTCACTTTACATTTCTTGAACTCTCACGCCTGTCCTGATTCCCTAGTCAGCATTCTTCCTCTATAAATTTGCCTATTATAAAGATTTTATATAAACAGAATTATAAAATATTTGGTGTTTTATGTCTAGCTTCTTGTTTTTTTTTAATTAATTATTATTTATTCTTCTTTTTCAATTGACCAGAGAGCCAC